ACACCTGATCATACTGCCTGCGATCCCAAGCATCAGAAACTCCCTGCACCAGGTTGTTGTAATGATGCAAGGCATCTTGCATAGTCGCATGTCGGATCAGTAGTGTAGTGTGAAATAACAGCAGCTCACGATGTGCTAGGGCACAGGCGCGCACTCCATGCGCATAGTCCCAGCAGCACGTAATGTAGTCCCATATTCCCGTCTCCGTCCCATGCCCCGTCTGATACTCCTTTGGTCTGAAAGGGGGAGGTAGAATGATGGCCGTGACCCCTTGCTGTCCCCATTTAGCAAGTAAACGTGGTTTGCCTATGCCTCTGCCATTGCCTTGCTGCCTGCGAATATCCGCTTCTCGGCACAAGAGAGATGCCGTTGCTTGCGGAAGGAGGAGGCATGGCTGCTGCATCTGCCGTGTGCGTCTCACTAAGGTAGGCAGGCATGGCATGCGCCGCGATCTTCTGCTGCTATGGCCACGTGGCCTCTCATGTTCTGCATCTGTCGTCGCAAAATGCAGCTGCCAGGCGAAAAAGATGACTCGCACCATGGCTCTGTGAGCTTGCAGCCCGATCTTGCGAGCTAGGCGTAAGTATATACTTCGCTCGTCCTGCATAGCAAGTGTGCTGACGCTGATCCATGACTGCCGTGGTTGCCGTCCCGCTGCCGTCGTACGTACTGGGAAGGCTGTGACCATGGCATACCTCACGTATTCTTCACATGTTTTGACGTGATTTGTGCTGTGTACTGCAAAGTCGGGGTGTCGGAATTGCGACAGCAGATGTTGGAATACACTGATGGACACTGGATCCTTGTACATGTCAGGATCGTGCTGCACCTTGTATGGCCTCGGTGCTGTTGGCACAAAGCTGGATGGCGGGAAAAGTAAGCATGCTGCCACCACGTTGTGGTCTGGCTGCGTGACTGTGAGGTCGATGCCGTGATCGACTCCTTGCGCAGGCACACGTATGTCAGCGGACACAGCTATGTAGTCGCGCCTCTCAGGTGTGGTGCGTGCTCCCGGTGCCGTCCAGGTACCCGCGGATCCCGATGGGTCTTCATAAAAGGTAGATGGAGCCCATTGGGCTGTGCCCTGGAGAAACATACGAAAACTGTGCCCAGGCAGGTTTTCAGGCTCAGCATGTATGGGCCCTACATGTGCGTCCGTGTATGACCCAACTGCTGCATTGGCGTCAATCAGTGTGATCACATGCTCTGCAGTACCCCTGTGCTGTATAATAAGCTGCTGCAGTTGTTTCCACCACTGTCGTATGTGTGCTGGGGGTCGGCGCGAATGCGGAGCATGAGCAACACATACACAAAGCGAAAGTGAAGGGGCCCTCACGGCCACGATCATGATGTCAGGCGCTGCATGTAACACTTGGCAGTGAGAAGGCTGTACCCTGCATCCCTCCTGGTATTCCCAATGTGTGTTGATCCATACAGTACATCCATCCCCTCCGGAGTCGTTAGCCTGGGCGTGCAACAGGAAGTACGGGCCAAGCTCGGATGTGCCTGTCCGCCTGAGACGCGTCTCAACTGTGCCTACTATGAAGTAGGGCCGTTGCGCAAACTGCCCCGCCAGCTGCATCATGCGGCCTGTGGCGTTGAAACCCTGAAACTTATCGTGTGCCTGTCGGGAACCCTTGTAGGCTCGGGGGTCCAGCGAGAGCACATTGGCCATGGCCATCCAGCCCATGGCAAAGACATGTCGGCCTCGTATGGGTCTCTTGGGGCTCGGTAAAATTTCCCGAATGCCCGTAGTGGGGACTTGAGGCGTAGGGAGAGGCATACCGTGGTTGGGTGGGTAAGCCTGTCGTGTGCTGGAGTCGGAGAAGAGTAACCAAATCCAGGGTAGGGCCTTTTGGTGGGGGTCCTGATGTATAAGGGATCTCCACGCTGGCTCAATAAAATCGGGCAGTACACGCATGGCATATAAACGTGCAAGCGTGTCCACGCACTCGTTCCACGGGTGTGCAGTGTGTCCATGTACATGTTCATACGTCACCGCAATCACACAGGCTCGTATGATCTGCGTAAGACTGTCAAGTAACGTCTTAGCAGGTAACAGCACGCCGTGCACATACCCTCCTTGGTAAATACGCAACACGTCCATGTTGTCAGTGTAAAAACATATCGGGGCCTGCCTGCAACACGATGGTGCTTGCAAAAGCCATGCTGTGGCCCAAATGGCCGCTTCCAGCTCGGCTCTCAACGGGGTTCTCGCATCAGAAGCATCCCATCCCTGCAGAGGGCCAGCAAGGAATCCTAGGAAGGAAACTCCGAAAGTGGTGACAGCGAGCACACAGAAAGCCCATGCTGGCGAGCACGTCTGTCCCTGATGTTTGAAGGTCCCTGCCGTTGCATCTGTGTATATCCTGAGATGGTCAATCTGGACCTTCGGGTCAAAAGGTACGAGACTGGCAAAGGCCGACACTGTAGAAGAATGCCAAAATTGTGCCCACGACAACAAGTCATTGGAAAGCTGAATGGGCCATTTCTTCTCTAATAGCTTCTTGGTAGAGTGGAGCGGCGGGATGGGAGAATAAGGAGCACCTGTCGTTGATTCCACTGGATTGCTGCAAATGTGGTATCCGAGGTGTTCCGAGCAATTTTCCTTTGGCTTGTCCTCTTCACTGGGGAATGGGCTAGCTGGAAAATCTGGATCTTGGATGGGAGTATTTGAATTCAGAGGGGGCCGAGACGCTTCTGACACGGCCCCTAGCGAAAAAGTGGGCTCGCTGGCGTTGCGCTGACTGGCGGAAAAACAAGAGCCTGGGCAACACTCGCAGGCGACTGCAAGGCCGCATGATCACTATCCTCTGCGGCAGCTCTGGCTGCCGCTTCCTCTGCTGCCTCACGGCTTGCAACTTCTCCTGCACCTGCGCCCATGGTTCCTCCGCCTTCTCGATCAGCTCGTAGGACTTTGGCCCCCGCCTGTCCACTGTCCGTGTGCCGTCTAGGAGATACCGAACGTGTAGCTCTGCGCCCCATCAGGGCCGCCTCCAGCTTGGCTCGGTTGGCCTTCTGGATCTCCGCTGGCACCGGTTTGTCCTTGTCCTTCTTGGGGGTCTGCATGGCGACTGCCGTCTTGGCCGCGTCGATGGCGGCAGCGGTGATGGTCTCCATGTCCGACTTCTTCTCAGTCCTGATGTTGGCAATCTCAGTCTGGAGAGTGGCCACGGTCTGCTGGAACGATGACATGTTGTGCAACATTTGTGCATTGGACTGCTGTAATGCTGCCAAAAGTGCTGGCATGCTGACTTCATTTGCCATGGCCACTGCAGCGTGCCCTCCAGGCGGTACCTGCGTATTGGGCGAGGCGGCTTGGGAGCGCGGTGTCTCCTGTCCGCCAGCTGCTGTGGCTTGGGCAGGCGTTCCCGAGGCCGCGGTAGGAGTAGCTGTCGTGCGCTGCACTGTCGCTGTCCTGGGCGGCGTCGTGAACGGTGAGGAACTGGCTGTCGACCATGGTGCTCTGCTGGTTGTTCCTCTCTGCCCTGGGCGGAAGCTCGACTGGGTTCCGTCCATCATGAGCTCGTCATCATCATCGTCAGGAACAGCAATGTTGCCTGCGATTGGTTGCTCGTCATCCAAGTCTTCAAAGTGTTCCAGTAAATGTTCTGCTTGTGCGAGTTCGTCTGTGAGAGCTTGACATTGAGTGTCGGCCGCCTCTAGTTGCTCTTGTAGCAAGTGCATCTTCGCCTGGGCGTCCATGAGGCGCTTCTTGCAGCGGCCGACAAACATGCGCTGCTTCGTGATTCTGGCCTGGGGCGACCTGGAATGCATCATCTGATACAATAGTACGCTGTACTCTTCCTGCATGCGGCCCACCTGTTCTTGGTCGAGGTTGAGCGCGGCCGCGCAGTGCAGCTGGCGCTCTATGGACTCCATTGTCGCGGCCAATGCCTTCCTGAAATCCCCCAGCTGCTGTGGGTCCTGTGGCGGTTCTCGCCATCGTCGATGTGCCTGCGCCGTCTCAGGGGATGCCGGCATGGTCGGAATGATCCCATCTGGGTCATCTTCCATCTGCTTGTTGGCCGTGCTCACCGCGCCTCGCTGTGGGGGCTGCGAGGTGGCAGTTCTACGCTGGCCACGTGGGCGTGACGCCGATCTGGCTCGTCGCTCTCTCCGATCTGAGACTTGGCTGGGATGGCATTTGGCACACACCTGCGCGGCCCATGCATTGTGATATGCACATGCTGGGCATTCCCATAGGCGCTTGTACTTGGTGACTGTCTTCCATGGCGGGGAGCGAGGCTCGTGTTCTCGATCTGAGCGATCCTGTCGTCCTCTGCTGTCACCTCTAGCACGTCCTTTCGTCATGCTGCTGTGATGTCTGCCCAACAATGCACTAGCTGAGGCGATACGTAGCAAGGTCCTGGCCCTGCCTCGTTCGGCCCTGGCACGACGATGCCAGGCCGGCTCGCCTCTGTCACGGCTGGCCCTCCTGCTGCGCGCCGTGGCGGGGCACGCGGGAAGGGCGGGCGCGTCTGGCAGCAGCCCCGGGTGAGAGGTCGCCTTACCTGGTAAGGCACCCGAAATCCTCTCGGGCCGGGGCGGCGGCTCTCAGGATGAGGAGGGAGGAGGGAGGAGGGAGGCGGGAGGCGGGCGGCGGGCGGCGGGCGGCGGGCGGCGGGCGGCGGGCGGGCGGGCGGCGGGCGGAGGGAGGAGGGCGGAGGCGGAGGGAGGCGGGAGGGAGGGAGGAGGGAGGAGGGAGGAGGGGAGGAGGGAGGAGGGAGGAGGGAGCAGGGAGGAGGGAGGAGGGAGGGGGAGGAGGGAGGGAGGGAGGAGGAGGAGGGAGGAGGGAGGAGGGAGGGAGGGAGGAGGAGAGGAGGGAGGAGGGAGGAGGGAGGAGGGAGAGGAGGAGGGCAGGGAGGAGGGAGGAGGGGAGGAGGAGGGAGGAGGGAGGAGGGAGGAGGGAGGAGGGAGGGTGACCCCGCATGGAACAAGTCGCGACATCGGATCTCTGGGGCAGAGGGGCCTCGGCGGCGAGGGCGAGGGGAGGCGGCCTTGCGCTCCTGCTCTGCCCGCGGCATGGGCGTGCCGAGCTCGGCCTCGCCGTGGGCGAAGTTGCAGAGCTCCTTGTTGTTGCAGTAGCCCAGCTGGCGGCGGCGGGCAGGAGAGCCCTCGGTTGCACCACCCCACCATCCCGCCACTCCCGTTCCTCCTCCTCCTCCCTCCCCTCCCTCCTCCCTTCCTCCTTGCCGTTCTTCTCCTTCTCCTCCTCCTCCTCCTCCTCCTCTCCTCCTCCTCCTCCTCCTCCTCCTCCTCCTCCTCCTCCTCCTCCGCTCTCCTCCTCCTCCTCCTCCTCCTCCTCCTCCTCCTCCTCCTCCTCCTCCTCCTCTATTCCTGTTCCTTATAAACAGCGTCTTCCTGTCGGACCTCCAGGCCAGATTTGAGGGCGGGCCGGGCCTTTCGCTTGAGACTTACTCACCATTTATGCCCTGAAGGTTAAAACGTGGCAAAAGTTTCACAGATGGAGGGCGGGCCGTTTTCAATATGTGGCTCTCGCCTTAGCGCCGCGCACATTCGTTTTACAAAACTGCAGAAGAGTTTGACGGATTGAGGGCAACCCGTTTTCAAAATGTGGCTCTCGCCTTAGCGCCGCGCACATTCGTTTTAAAAAACTACAAGAGTTTCACGGATTGAGGGCGGTTCCTTCTCAAAATGTGGCTCTCGCCTCAGCGCTGGGCGCATTCGTTGTTAAGATTACAAAGATTTCACGGACTCCCGTGTTACAATTGCGTGGGTTCGCGGTGTTGAAGTCCAGGAATGGCGTCCTCGCACGATTCAGGACAGTCAAGACGCATCAGGACGCTCGCGGAGTGGGAATCAAACAAAACGACCTTCAACGACCGATGGGTATCCCCACGTACACCTCGTTCATTTCCAATCGTGCTCATTTCTACTTGTTCCTGGCCCCCTAGTGGCCAGGAAGAGGCCCAGAATAGAACAAATAGAAATGAAAAGATCTTGGCCCCCCAAATCAAAGAACTTTCGAAGAATTGGAAATGAACAGTGTGTAACATTGCCCCTGACTCCCGCTCCCGCTCTCGGGTGTTGCTTTAAGTCGGGCGTGTCCCCCTACAGGGGGATTTTCGACGAAAACTAAAACTATGCAAAACTTGCTCCAACATGGCCAACACGTATGTAAAAAATAGTCCCCAGACTATTTCTTGACTGTTTTTGAATCTTCCCCCTGTAGAGGGACGGGCCCGACTTAAGTGTTGCTAGAAGAGCCCCCGGCCCCGGGGCCCCCCCGGGCTTCCGAGGGAGGCCCCCACGGCCTGTGCAGACCCCCTCACGGGGCCCGGATGGCCACGTTTAGGTCGGGCCTGTCCCCCTACAGAGGGATTTTGGACGACAAATAAAAAGAGACTCAGAAAAATACCCCAAAGATGCCCAAAGATACCCAACAAAATAGTCCCCAGACAATTTGTTGGGCTATTTTTGGATATAGCCCCCCTGTGGAGGGACAGGCCCGACTTGAGGCTACGTGGGGCTCCAGTGGAGCGAAGAACTGGGGGCATCTCTTTGCGCCAGGGGCACCTTTGGCAACTCCCGCTCCATCCCTCCCCGTCGGGGAGACGTAAGTAGGGTGGCTCCAAACAATACTAACCAGCCTCGAACTTATCCCTATCCCTGAGATGAGGGAGCAAAAAGCGAGGGCAGTCTTAGGGATAAACCCTCAGGAACTGAGGGAATCCTTACGATCGGCATCGAGGTGAGATGATGCCAAACATAGGGATAGGGATATGTTTCAAATTTGTAAAATACACCATCCTGGGCTCTGGACTGGGCCCATCCTGGGCCCTGGCCAGGCCCATCCTGCACCCTGGACTGGAGTTGGCGGCGCGCAAAAGGGGGTAGGGGGGGGGGGAAGGCTTCTTAGAAGCACCCTGCTTCTTAGAAGGCCTCGGCCTTACGTCTATAGAGAAGGCCCGCGCCTTCTAAAGCACTTCTTCACCCTCCCCCCACCCCCCTCTGCGCGTTGCCGATGGTGTACAGGCCCTTCCGGCCTAGGCCCTGGAGGTCTCTGCACCAGTCCAGGGCCCAGGATGGACCTGGCCGGGGCTGGTGGTGTATTGTTGGCATCCCCCCGAGTAAGACTCGGTCAATATAAAGGGGGGGCTCGGTTTGGTTTGGCCTGGCGGGGCCATCGTGAAAATGACGAGACCCAATCTGGAACCTGACGCGAGCTCCCGCTGCAAACATCCCATGAAAACCGGACTGTCAAAATCCAAAACGCGCTGGTCAAAAAACTTCGGCAAACCCGGGTTCGGGCTTACTCGAGTCGTACCATTGAGCAGGGACCGACCGTCCCGGCATTCCTATTGGAACCACGAAATATTCTTAGACCCCCAAAATGCTCGAATGACACACATAATGTTCTTAGAACATAAGGACGATGTAATAAACAAAACAGTTTTGGCCTGACATGTTCTAAGAACATGTCGGGCAGACCACACAAAGTTCTTAGAACACCCTTTGGTGGGACTGCAAGAAAGCTGGGACGCTTCGCCACTGCGCGAAACTTACCCATCGGTCGGAAGAAGCAGGTAGAAACATGAAAGAGGAAGGCGTTGAACATATATTGGGTTCCGTCCGCCCCCTAAGAAGGACGGAAAAGGTGAAGCCACTCGATCATTGAAACAGGAAGGCGCTTAAAGTATATTGGAATCTGGGAATCCAAAGATACTTTAGTAGTGAAAACAATTGGTTTTCAAAATGTTTGGTCTTTAGAAGCTCTGCGTGGCGACGCCCCCGTCGCCACGCGTGCCCTCTGCGTGCCTGCGGGGGCGCCGCCACGTAGAAGTACTGGAGACCGACCATTTGTGAAAACCCAAAAACCTATTAAGTTCACGAATAAAGTACTCCAGATTTCGTAATAAAAGGGAGGGGGTCTCATTTCGGGGGGGGGTCTCGTCCAGGCTATCTTGGAGGGCCTGGGGGGGTCTGGGGACGATGTTTTGGAGGGTTCTCCCACGGGGGAGGTCTGAAATGGCTTGTCTTGGAAGGTCCAGACCCCCTCCCATTTATTACGAAATCTGGAGTACGTTTCCCCGACCCCGGCGCGGCCTTCTTGAAGTACTTGCAGAGCTTCGTCCTCAGCTCCGGCTGCCGTGGCTGCTGCTCCGGCTCCCGCGGCGCCTGCTCCGCCGGGCCCGGCTGCTGCGGCGGCGGCTGCTGCGGCGGCTGCTGCGGCTGCGCCGTGGCAGCGGCAGAGGCGCCCGCGTCGGCCTTCGGGCGGCTCTGCGAGAGGCGCTGGCCCTCAGAACGTGCGTTAACGTCAACATGCTTGTCCTTGTCCGCCGTTTCCCAAGTCCTCCTGGGCGGCCCCGCTCTCCTCCCTCCTCTCGTTCGGCCGTTTCGTCTGCGTTTCCCCCCCCCCCCCTCTCCCTGCATGGCGGCACAGTTCGCTACAGCGGTACCCCCGTTTAGCTAGCTCTTCGCAAGCGCAGACGGCTCCTGGCTAGCCGCCGACGCAAAAAACGTGCTTGTCCGCCGCATCCCCCTTCAATATGACGCAGGCGGTGCAATGAGGGCCGACACGGGCTGCGTGCTGTTGGCGGGGCTGAACGGGGTAAACACACACACGCACACACGAACACAAACACCCACACGCACACGCACGCACACACGCACACGCACACGCACACGCACGCGCACACGCGCACACGCGCACACACGCACACACGCACACACGCACACGCACACACGCACGCGCACGCGCACAGACGCAGACGCATACGCAGACACAGACGCAGACGCAGGCGCAGACGCAGACGCAGACGCATACGCACACGAACACGCAGACGCAGACGCACACGCAGACGCAGACGCAGACGCACACGCAGACGCAGACGCAGACGCACAAGCACACTCACACGCAGACGCACCCGCAGACGCACACGCAGACGCGCAAGCAGATGCGCACGCAGATGCGCACGCAGACGCGCACGCAGACGCGCACGCAGACGCGCACGCAGACGCGCACGCAGACGCACACAGAGACGCACACGCAGACGCACACAGAGACGAACACAGAGACGCACACAGAGACGCACACGCAGACGCACACAGAGACGCACACAGACGCACCCACACGCACACACACACGCACACAGACGCACACAGAGGCACACAGTTGCACACAGAGACGCACACAGGGACGCACACAGCAGCACACAGACGCACACAGACGCACACAGACGCACACAGACGCACCACACAACACACAACACACGACACTCAACACACCACACGCACACACACGCACACACGCACAGACGCACACACGCACACACGCACACCTGCACACGCACGCACACACGCACACACGCACACACGCACACAGGCACACACGCATACACGCACACACGCACACACGCGCACACGCGCATACGCACGCACACACGCACACACACACACACACATACACACACACACACACACACACGCGCACACACGCAAACACCACGCACACGCAGCACACACGCACACACACACGCACACACGCACACACACGCACACACACACGCACACACGCACACATGCACACACACACACACGCACAGACAGCGCACACACGCACACCGCACACACGCACACGCACACACGCACACACCACACACGCACGCACACACACACGCACACACACACACACACACACACACACGCACACACGCACACACGCACACACGCACACACGCACACACGCGCACACACGCACACACGCACACACGCACACACGCACACACGCACACACGCACACACGCACACACGCACACACGCACACACGCACACACGCACACACTCACACACGCACACACGCACACACGCACACACGCACACACGCACACACGCACACACGCACACACGCACACACACGCGCACACGCGCACCCGCGCACAAACGCACACGCGCACACACGCACCCGCGCACCCGCGCACCCGCGCACCCGCGCACGCGCGCACCCGCGCACACGCGGCGCACCCTCGCACACGCGCACCCGCGCACCCGCGCACCCGCGCACCCGCGCACCCGCGCACCCGCACATCCGCGCACACGCGCACACGCGCACACACGCACACACGCACACACGCACGCGCGCGCACGCACGCACACACGCACACACGCACACGCGCACACACGCGAAACGCGCACACGCACACACGCGCACACGCGCACACGCGCACACGCGCACACGCGCACGCGCGCACACGCGCACACGCGCACACGCGCACACGCGCACACGCGCGAACGCGCGCACGCGCGCACGCGCGCACACGCACACACGCGCACACACGCACCCGCGCCCACGCGCCCACGCGCACACGCGCACACGCGCACACGCGCACACGCGCATACGACCACGCACGCGCAAACTCACACACACCACACACACACACCACACACACACACACATCACACACACACACACGCACACCGCACACACACACACACACACTTACACGCACACACACACACACTTACCCACACACACTTACACACTCACACACTTACGCGCTTACACACGGCCACCCTTACGCACTTACGCGCTTACGCACTTACGAACCCACACACTTACACACTTACACGCTTACACACCTACACACTTACACACTTACACACTTACACGCATACACACATACACACATACACACATACACACATACACACTTACACACTTACACACTTACACAATAACACACGTACACACGTACATACGTACACACGTATACACGTACACACGTACACACGTACACAATTCCACACGTCCACACTTCCACACTAGCACACTTCCACAGCTCCACACTTACAATTTTACAAACTTACACACTTACACACTTATATTTGCACACACTTACACGCTTACACCCTTACACACTTACACACCAACACACCGACACATTTACACACTTGAACACTTAAACCCTTGCACCCTTACACAATTACACACTGAGGCACACACCTACACACTTCGACACTTAGTATTTACACACTTACACACTTACACACTCACACACTTACGCATTTAAACGCAGACACGCACACATACACATTTACACACTTACACAATTGTACACCCACGCACATACACACTTACACACTTACACACTTACACACTGACCCACTTACGCAGTTACACACTTACACAGTTACACACATACACACATACACACTTACGCGCTTACACACTTAAACACTTACGCACTTACACACGGACACACTGACACACTCACGCACTTACACACGTACACACGTACACAAATCCACACTTACACACGTACGCATTTACACACTTTACACACTCTACACATTCTACACACTCTACACACTTACATTGCACACTTACACTCTTAAACACTTACACCTACACACCTACACACCTACACACCTACACACCCACACACACCTTCACACGTACACACGTACACACCGACACACTCATACAGTCACAAACTTACACGCCAACACATTTGAACACTTACACAGTGAAGCGCTTTCACACGGACACTCTTACACACATACACACTTGCACACCTACACACCTACACACCTACACACACTTCCACACTTACACACTTACACAATTCCACATTTACATACATACACGCGTACACACCTACACACTTACACACTTACAGAGTTACACACTTACCCACGTACACACTTACGCAGACACACCCACACGCACAAACACGCACACACCACACTCATCACACACACACACCACACACACTTACACGCACACGCACATACACTTACCCCCACACACACACACTTACACACTTATTAACACACTTACGCACTTACACATGTACACACGTACACATGTTACACACTTTACACATTACACACCTACACACTTCCACACTTCCACACTTTCACAATTACACACTTACACATTTACGCACCTACACACTTGCACAACTACACACCTACACACCTACACACCTACACACGTACACACGTACACACGTACACACGTACACACTTACACCCTTACACTTACATTTACATGCACACTCACACACAGACACACTTACGAACACACACACACGTACACACACACACGTACACACACACTTACACACACACTTACACACACCTACTCACTTACACACACACACACACACACTGGGCTGACTCACGCCCTGAGGGTCATCGAAAGAGGACGCGGATCACATCGCCCAAGATCCGCCGACCCTGTCGCCATGTGTGGGGGGTAGTCTTGTGTGACTGTCGAGAAGCTCTCCCCCCCTCCCCTGCCCTGCGGCCACCTGGGGCTCGCCAGGCTCGCCAGCCCCACGGGAGTCAACCCAGGTCGTCGGGAAGCTCCTTCCCTCTGATCTCTCCCCTGACCCTCGAGGAGGGGCTGGCCATCGCTCGGACGTCCATTCCCTGTGCTTTTTTGTCGGTTTCGTGCTTCTTGTTTTTTTTTCCTCGCCAAATGATCCAGGATGCTCCTCGATGGGCATCGCCGAAGGAAAAATGCACACGTCCGAGCGATGCCAAAGGGGGGGGGGGTACTGGGGGGTGGGGGTCCCAGGGGGAGGGGGTCCCACAGGGGGGGGGGGGTCCCAAGGGGGCCTGCGCCTGCCCGCGACTCCGATACTCTTGGGGCCGGCCTGGGGACTGGAACACATCCCTCAGCTGTTCTTTTCCCAAGAGATCTCTGCTCCCTCCCCAAATCGAGGCATCGCCCAGATAGGGTACCAGTGATTTTTTGGTCACCAGCACACCGAAACATTATCTGAGGGATGTGACATCCCTCAGGAACGCGAGACCCTCCGCCGGCCACGCCGAATAGCATTCGAGAGCACCCTCCCCCCTAGGATGCACAAGAGCATCCAACAGACACGAAGAGCATCGGGGGGTACCCTCCCCGAACCGACCTCGGTCTTGTACCTCGGTCCTCGGGGGTCTTCTTACCCGGGTCAATCCAGACCCGGGTCAGCAGGAGACCAAGAACTGCAATGCAGGACAACAAAAAAACTGCAACGCAGGTCTTCGCAAACCCAGGTCAGCCAATACGTACGAGCGGCCGCCTCGCGGCCACGAGCGACTCGCTAACCCGGGTCAGCCAGAGGGGGCCTTCGCAGGATCCTGCAATATCTGGCGCTCTGGCTGACTCCCGTTTGCACTGACCCCCGTCTCTTAGGCCC